TTTAAAACGCTACAAACACGCTCCTTTCCCACCCTTCTCACAGTTACAATTAAATTTACCTCCCAGAATCTGGGAGGCACGTGACCAGCCGCAGCCAGGATCTCTCCCAGATGACAGGAGGAGAGAATCCTCAGTTCAGAAAATTGCTGTTGAGTAATCAATTCGGCAGAACATTTGTTTAACCAGAATCATGATTGGATCAGTGCATTTTTTAAGGATTCTTCAGTGGTGGTGCAAAAGTGCCAAAGGGCCCACTCTCTCCTTGCTGTCCCCTCTGGATAGTATGCGATCGCCGAAGGTTTGAGCCGAGTGCCGAAGGCACGAGCTAGCTAGGGAGTCTGGGGGCATGCCCCTCCCCAGGAAATTTTTAAAATTTGAGTCTCTGAAATAGCATTTCCTGCATTCTGAGAACACATTTTTTAAAAAATCTCAGCTTTTCAAAACAAAGTTTTAATGGTGAAATTTGTAGTAAATTGCATGCTAATCATTCAAATGCAACATAAGTTTTATTATTATAGAGTGAGATACTCAAAAATACACAGTGAGATATTTTCCAGATCTTCACTATGGTGACGATATCGATCACGTGACTTTTGGTATTTATACAATATTTTGCTTGGGACTATGTAATAAAAAGAACATTACGTTGTGGCTTCATTATTTTCAACATTTCATTATTTGTTAGCCTTGAAATGTGTATTTTTTTAGTTTTTTGCTCCCCCTGCCCTTGATTGCTTCCAGCGCATACACGCGCGAGGGTAAAAATGTCACCTCGCATTTTTGGTCTGCCAATAATTTAAAGTGTTTTTTTAAAATATATTTGTTTAAGGACAATCTTTGGTATGGTATGGTATGGTATGGTATGGTATGGTATGGTATGGTACGGTACGGTATGGTATGGTATGGTATGGTATGGCATGGCATGGTATGGTATGGTGTGGTGTGGTGTGGTATGGTATGGTATGGTTTGGTATGGAATGGTATGGTATGGTATGGTACCGTACTGTACGATACGGTACGGTAAAGTATGGCATGGCATGGCATGGCATGGTATAGTATGGTATGGTATGGTATGGTATGGTATGGTATGGTATGGTATGGTACGGTAAAATTTTATTTAAACACTAGCCTCGATCAACGTGAGCTGCCACACAATAACTATTTACAAATTAAAGAGTATACACGTTAAACTATAAACAATTTAAACTATATAGAAAAACAAGGAAGCAAAGGATAGATAAAAACTTAGCATTAGATAAAAACTTAACAAATGGTGCGATCTAAAGGAAGTGTTCATGCCTGACGTATTTTTCTTTTAAAAGAAGAAAGGGTTTCACAATTTGACATGTTCGCAATTACAGTCTTACGATTCAGATGTAAATATCTCAGTAAGTAACCCCCCCCCCCCCACCCCCCTAAACAAAAACTACCATTGATATCCACACAGAATAACCTGTTGAACGACGGGGTCAAATGCCGGCAAAACATTACACAAACCAAAAACAACCATACATTTACTCACCCTTGAATAAAACTTGAATATTTTTTAAACTTTTTGCTATTCGCTCAAAAGGCATACGAGTAAAATACCCCATGTATGCGCTTTCATGTAGAAAGTTTCGTTTCAAATACGGCGAGTAGAAATATTTATTACGAATATATTTTTCAAGATATCTTGTTTTACTCGCACGCGGGTGTCACGCACTACACTTGACAATAAAGAGCACCCGTAGCAGGATACACGTCAAATCACACGTATGCGTGTAGGGCTCAGTGAACTCTAATAATAACTGGAAGGCTAACTCCTATGATGAAAGTCTATGATTCGTTGAAGCCGGCGCGCGGGAAAATCAGCTTTCAAAAGGACTAAGGAGAGTTTCGAGGAGTGAAAAAAATTCTGTCAAAAGTTTGTTTTCGAGCAAGAATTTGCAAGAAAAACACTTTTCCCATGGGAATACAACAATGACTTGGGATTTAAACCAAGTTTCCGATTAGTTCCGACTGTTTTACATCTCTCTGCAGCAAAAAGTAAGGAATTTTGCTTTTGTATTTTGAAAAAATGACGAAAGTTTGGATGCGCCGAAGGAAATCTCGCCGTTCAACTGAAAAATATATACTATAAAACATTTTGACAGTCCCAAAACTTATGTTGTACTAAACCCCAGGTATTGTTATTGATCCTGAGCTTTTAGTCCTTGTTTTAGTCGCTCTTAAACATAAATAAATTGGCGTTTTTCAAGTGATGTTATTTTCGTCATCGGCATCTTGTTGGCCACTATGAGCACTTTGAATATGGCAATATTTTTGTCAATTTTCAAATGCTTTTTTTTCGACCTTAAACGTTAAATCTTCTTGAAACTTCGCATACAGATGTATTTTGCATGGGTATAAAAAATTCCTGAGGTATGACGTTTTAGTTTTATCTTAAACTTCCAAAAACTCAGAAAAAGCAGCCTAAAACGCGCGGTTTTTCAGACCGTTCATGCTTATGGTCGTGTTTTTCGCATTTTTTTTGCTAATTCGTGATTTGTTTGCTTTGCGAATATTAAATTCATTTATCATACTACTGATATAAATTAAATTTGGTAGTATAACTAATATTTTGGGGCAAGATTTTTCTGATCAAAAAATGTGCATATTTGGAAAAAAAAATTAAAAAGGACTGGGTCTACCTACAAAAAAAGCTTCAAGCACGGCTTCAACTTCCCCCCCTGACTTAACCTTCCAGTTATTATTAGAGTTCACTGGTAGGGCTACTTTGACGTTTAGAATCAATTGCCGATATTTCCAAACCAATACGGTACGACCATCGCATTGCTTTGACACTTGAAAATTGTATTTCTGGTTGGGAATAGCGCAGACTCCGACCAGAAATGTAAATACGCTAACAAAAGATCACAATTTGAAGATAGAAGCTTGAAGTTAACACTGTAAGTAGTGTTTTGGATGCTCAGTCGAACAAGACTATTACAAAGAGGATACGTCCCCAGGGCCGAAATTATACTGATCTGATTGGTGTGAATGCACACTCAGAGTAACATCACAAACATCATATTCACCCAGACGAGGTTGGACAGCAGGCCGCAAAGCATCATGGGTATAGAGCGCCTAATTCCACGCGTGACTTTCATTGACTGTTGACTGTCGAGGAGTGAACATCTCTCTGACTACAAAACCAATATGGAGGCTTTCGAACGACAAGAATGACATAGCATGTCAGGCTGCGATATTTTGTGAAAACAGTATGTTGCGATCATCATTATGACTTGTGTTTTACTATATCAAGTTTACCTTTTTTTAAATTGCATGGGACGTGCTGTAATTTTAGCTTTATAAAGACTATAAATAATACATCTGAGAAAAGGAATTGTGTTTAATTTAATATATTCCCAATAGCGAGGCTCTTCTTTCTAAGTTGGATGGCGTTAAATCTCCGTGTATCATGAACGTGAAAACAAGCGCAGTATTTAAGGTTGGTATACTACCATGCATTACAGTTATCGTGTTATTTTATAGTCAAATTTCCGCTTTGTTGTTTTTATTCTTGTACTTTTTGTGTTTATAATGCCTCTAGTTTGACCCTATTGTGTGTGTATATGTACTGTGTCACTGTGATACATATGTACACGTTTCGAGTTAATTAAACGAATGCCTGTTTGTATGGATAGATTTTTACATATATGTGCATACAGTATAGTTATATTTTTCAATTTTCATCTGTAAAATAATATTTGTGTATTGTTCTAATATTACTGTAAATAGTGACACCCTTTTGCATTAGATTGCTAATTTTAGAGATTACAGTGTATGTATAAAATAATAAAATAAAAAATTTCTTGTTATGATTTTGTAGAAAGAGATCTACTTGAGTGGTTCAGTGGTTGGCTGGTCTTGAACCTGGTCAGGATGGATATGGTAATGAAAGTGATAGGGCAGAAAGTGGTGACCAGTTAAGTGATCAGGATGAAAGTGACGAGGACGAAATCACCCATGCTGTGCCATTCAAGTGCATTGGACGGTGCTGTTCATGAGAAACATTACCAACATCATTTGTAACAGGCATGCCTTGCTATTCATGGACAAGATAAACCAGTGAATGTAAGAATACGGCCAAAGCCATTGAATCCAATGGACCCAAGTGCAATAGCAATTGATGTAGACTATGGAACTGGATGAACATATGTGATTTGGCTATATTATTTGCACCCACTAATTGCTGCATGAGATATCTTAGAGGTCTATGTTCAGCATATAAAGTATAGGGTTGACTTTTTTAAAATAGGATTTTATCCAAAATTTTTCATAAATTAAGCGATGTGGTGAGTGGGAGACTCAAGTGGTAAGGAGGGGCATGAGTGTATGTCGACAGATGTTTGTGAAATAATAGTAACTGACTAGGTTTAGCAAGTTATAGAAATGTTATTTAAATTGGCTAACTTTTTAGATTTTTCCAGCATTTTTACCTTTCACTTTATTGCCAAACAAAAATAATTTAATATAAGGGCGTGTATCTATAACAAAACAATATCTGTCATGTGCAACTCCCTCAAAATAGCAATATTGCTTTTTTATTGTGGCATAAATTTATTACTAGGACACCAATATGGTTCTCATTACCTATATCTAAACTTAAAAAAACATGTGCTATCAATAAATGCATCTACCTATTTCGTGACTGAATAGAATTTATTTTGTCAAGCCATGTAATTAATTTTGAAATTGCTGTGACTTTATGTAACCCTTCTGCAAGAATTGAGCTTAAACCCGAAAGCACCAACCCATTCCCAACAATAAAATTACATCTTGCTGTCAATTTCAATTTGTCTTTGAAATCTGACCACCAATGTTTATTTGTAAGTTTGGAATGTATGTTGTAAAGTTCAACGGCAGTTCATTTTAAAGTTGGTTCTGTGAAAATTGGGCTGAGTTGAATTTAAATGGTTCTTATTTCTAGTCAAAATATGGGTCTCTATTTACTTGTTTCTATATACACCTGTTGACTCTGGATGGTCTTCAGAAGTATCAAATAATGTACCTGCATGCCATTATAAATGCTTCCTCCTTTAACTTAATAATAGTGTTCATGCATACTAAAAAACCAAACATGGTGAAGTAGATAATGTAAACAGCAGCTGACAACTTTTGAGGTATTCAAGAAATATCACAAAGCTTGCAAGTTGCTGTTTAATAAAGAAAACAATTTCTTAGGTCATCCATGGCCATCTAGTTAAAAAGTGGCTGACGTCTAATTTCAAGAGTGGCTGGTGCAAAATGTACACTACTATAACAAACATAATTTAATTATTTATTAATATCAATAAATTTGAACAAATATACTCAAGCATTAATTAAATATGATACAGTACATGTATGCAGGGATGGATCCAGCATGATCTGGTGGGGGAGGGGTGCTCTGGTGCTGACTGCCGAATTGTGTCGGTCATGTGTGCCGCCCACCCATCAACTGCTGTATTTGAATTGTAATTGTTGTTCACAGTTCACTTATCATCATGTTATTACTCAAATTATTGCATCTTATTTTGTCTTTTTTGCTTTATCAAAAAAATAGCACCCCCGTGCACCCCCTCTGGCTAGGGGGTGCAACCCCCCCCCCCCAAGTAAATCCATCCCTGCATGTATGTGCACTTTCTATATTGTGCTCAGGTATTTGGTGGAGCATGTTGTTGGCCACGTTGAGGGATCACAGCTCAATTTGTATTCACCAACAACTTTCAGGAAGACATCATAAAGGACAAGAGATACTATAATCTATACTAGTAATCCATGCTAAAATGTCTTCATTCTTCAACATCGTCAGTTGGCCTTGCCCTTGCAGGATGTTCAGGAATAAGCCCTTTTTCAATTCTATATCGACATCTGAACTGCTGTAATTAAAAAGAAACATAGAATTTTTCACCGAGAGAAAATCTGATCACTTTATAATGTGCTGTTCTTTTAAAATCGTTTCTACCACCAGACAATTTCACTTGTCAAGGAGATGGGCATGCAGGCTAGTAATACCAGCCCAGATATAAAATCTGCAAAAACAGGCAAATAACTCCTAAGTCTTCTAAATAGTCCTTCAAAAGTAATTTAACACTTACTGTAAAGAAAAGTGATCCTAATATTGGGGGACTTTCAAAATTCATTGTGAAAACCAAGCTTTGGTGGCGCAATATCTTCCCCAGATATTAGACGCCATTTTGGCAAAGGTTGAATTGAGTATGGTCACTTCAATGCCAAATATCTCGAAAACTGCCGGGGGATCCCTCCAGCAGATTTTTAGTTTAGACATTTGTCTTGACTTTTTTGCAAAAATTACGAAAATCGAACCGTGGGAATTCCAGATTTTTTAGTTTGAAAATTGTAAACAGACTCGGACTTGAGTCATCACGTTGCCACGGCATGACCAACTTTAATCATCGAAAACAGGTTAAAAAATAACGTTTACCTCAGAAATTCTTGCACATATCGCCAGTCCTTTTATAATACTAAGGCCATGCAGGGCGTTTATAAGATAGGGCGGCGAAACGCCAGTAATTCGCGTGAAACATGTGTGATGCAAATTAGGACTGGGGCTAGCGGGGAAGGCGCGAAATTTAAATCAAAACAAAATATTGATGCGAAACTCGAAGACACTTTTTAAATCTCTTATTTTGCCGAAATTATGCAGTCTATCGTTGCCATATTTTGTCATCTGGTTATATACGTTTTTTACAATTTACATGGCATGATTCAAGACAATCGTAAAAACAAAACTACGAAAATTTTGCACATGAAAGCCGAACATCATAATGGATTCCCTTACGCGTTTTTAGGATGCGTAAAATAAATTACTTATTTTATATCTCAAAAATAAGCCAGAACTTAGCTTTTTTAAATGCATGTTAACAAAGTACAAATCGTTATTCCTCTTAAATTTCATGGCGTAATTTTTTGAACTTTTTTTGCAATAGCTTGCTGAATACAGCATAAAAAATTTATTACAGTTGAAAAATTTCCCAGGTTCGTATAGTTTTAAAATATACGAATATAAAAGAAATTTAAACGTTTTTTGGCCACTCTTATTCTTAAATCGACAAAGGAATACTTGTTCTTCTTACCAGCATGTTCATCCTTGACCAGAAGCCAACATGTAACGAGTAAATGAGAATTGTTTTCAAACAAGTGTTCGGGTTCATCGTCACTGCGAATTTCGCTTTTCCAACCGGCCTTCGATTTGTAAAATATTAATAACTTGTACTGTCACCAGAACTTAGCAAATCCAAGGACGACTAGTCCATTATCAGATCTTTCTTTGGTAAAAATATTGTCACTTAATTTTTTGAACTTTTTTTGCAATATGGGAACAAACACGACACAACGGGAAAATATTCGGCAGACATTTCGAATTATGCCGCGCGAACCGGAAGATTGAGGCAAGTCAAGACGGACACAGACAACGATGAAAATTGCGAAATATATTTATTTATTGCGAAATAAATTTTAAAAAGGTAAACAAACACTTTGTATTTTAAATTAACTATACAACACAGATAATATAACTAAAAAGACACTGAGAAAAACAAGCCAAAACGACTTTGATAATTGGTTCAATATCAAATATCTATTAAAAGTGCACATTTATAAAAGACATAAAATTTGGTCTAGCACTTTTGTATATATCTACTATACACAACTAGTTTATATTACAATTGTCTACTCTTACAACTATGTCAAATAATTTGAAAAGAACGGTTTCACCAGTGAGAGGATACAATGAGTCAATGATACACCCAGGGCCGTAGCGAGGGCAGGGGTATTGGGAGGGGGGGGAGGTGGTTAATCACCCCCTCAACTTTTTTAGAATCGACATATTCGGAGAATCGGGCTGGCCATTCGGAAAATTACGGCAATAATATTAGTAGAACAACATTTTAGTTGTTAAACAGAGAAAATATTATAAAATTGTATTGTCAGTATAAACTGATTTATGAAATTATGGCATTTACATGGATAACATTTAACAAATTGTAAATCGGTAAACGTTTTTCAGTTCATTACTTCTCAGGGCCGTAGCAACCGGGGGGGGGGGCACTGCAGCCCTCCCAATAATTTGGTAATCATTCTTTAATATACCTTTAAAATGCTGACAATTGATTAATTTTAATTGGCTATTATCCATGACAAACTGCAAAAAATCATATTACCCATACTTTTCCTGCAACTTCTCCAATATGCAGTATAGTTAATTAAATATGTCTTCGCCCATTTGGTACTACTAAACTGGAAGCAAATTGTAAATTTTGACATACTAAAATGCTTTTTGCAGTATTCTTTTTCAGTATTCTGTAAATGGCATTTCAGGGACTCTAAATTTAAAAATTTCCTCGGGCCTCCGTTTTAACCCCCCCCCCGCCCCCCAATGAAAAAGAGCTTCCTACGGCACTGCTTCTGTAATATGTCTGTGCGTCTATGTCTTGCGCATATGTCTTGGCCTACACTTCCCCCCCCAACTATACATGCTAGCTACGGCCCTGGATACACCCAAGAGAAGAGCAGAATTTAGCACACCACCTCGGCCACAAAGAAATGCTCTGGACCCAACTATTTTATAATACCCTATTCTATGATAACCCTTGTGTTTCCAGTGGCACCCTTCACCAAAAATTATGCACCTGGTAAATACGATGCAATAATTGACATAATTTACCAAATTATTGGTGCGAAATACAGTAGTCACAGTATTCAATACTATTTTCATCGAGTTTTAGTTTATGCAAACAAAGTGCAGGGTTTTGGAAAAACAGAAGGTACATGCAGATGGGTCTTCTACCAGAATAATGTGAGATGTTTCCTAGAACAATCCAATCACCTACTCACTCCAGTCTTACAAGGGGAACAACTTGATGAGACAACAATGAATTCATTGCTGCATCAATTGAAGTCTCACTGCATGCAACAGGGCACATCAACCCCTCTAGATAACAAAGCAGAATGCTGCCTAAACAAAGAATATGACATATTTATAAACTATGTTAACCAAATGTTTGAAAAGGCCATTATTTAACAGTGATAAAAACACCCTTCATTTCCCACAACAGAGGTCTCAAAACTATGGGCATCTCCTGCAAGCCTTTTCCACTAATCATCAAATAGATTGGTGATTGGTCACACTTTGTCATTTCTCAGAGTGGCAAACTTTTTATCCAACCTAATAGCCCGTACGCTGTCGCTTTTAAACTTCTTCACCGAACCATTGCACTGATTAAAAGCCTCGACATTGGACAAATACAGACACAAAGCAATCCAAGGTGGCAAAACCTTTTTCCCCGCGCGTGTTTCGCAATATTGTTGTGGCTATTTCAGCTTCGGATTTTATCGTGCTTGGAAGAAATCCTTTCGAGAACTGCGATCACTTCATTGATAGTGAAAGCATCCATTTCAGCCATAGATATAATATGATTTCAGCTTGAGCTTCCGCCATTTTTACTCGCATGTGTTCGAATATTTGGGGGGTCCCTTGCATCACAGACATATCAGGGCTCCTATGCTCGTTTCGCCGCCCTATCTTATAAACGCCCTGGGCCATGGTTGCATTTTGATAGAAAAATTTGAATATTTATATATATATTTTTGAGTTCTTCTGTGTCCAATGCGAATTTGACGGCCAAAAATCTTCGCCAACACGATGGAAAATAGAGCGATCTCATTGGTCGAGAGCTCACGTGACAACTCGCTAATTAGCTGTCCAACCTCCTCTGATATTCACCTGAGTACATAACTCCAATGCGCATGCGCATCAACCATGACGTTCCAAAGTTCATTTTTTAAACTTTTCGTTAAACATTTTTCGGCATTCCATTTATCCAGTTTTGGTTTCAAATTAAATTCACTCCAATAATCGGGAAAGGAGTGTGTTGTGAGGCTTCGCCTCGGGCAACAACGGCGATCTCTTGTCCACAAAACACACTGTTTCCTCGGTATCAGTAAATAAGTGATAATTAGGTTACCTTCTATATTGTCTTGGTGAGGGCTATTAGTAAAACCAGGAACACCGGAACAACGGAGCACCGGAACACGGAACACCGGAACAGCATCATTCCGGGACACGAAACACCGGAACACTAAAAATTCCCAATTTGTTAAAAATTCGGAAAAAAAATACCGGGGCCGGTGTGTGAAAATATTGCTGCAATAATCAAGGCGTAAAACGTGCCGTTCTGACCGATAGCTACTAATAACAAACAGAAATCCTGGCAGAAATCAGTCTCAAAGTAATAAATATTTGCCCGAAAAATAGAAATCAAACCTAGAATTGTTATTTGTTGAGAATATTGAATAGCCCATCTTTGTTTGTTGTTGAAAATATGACAATCAAAATATTAAAGTAATAACAGTTGATTGGATTCCTTGTTTTTACCGACTTAGCTACTCTTGAAGTGCAAAAGGATATTAAAATTTCAATTCTCGTTCGAATTTGGTATTTAGCATCACTTTAATAATACAGACAGTTCTTTAATATTAATCCTTTCTCAGACGAAATATTTTGTTAGCGGCGATGGATAAAAAACCTTTAGCACGTGATGATATAAACCTTTCGCTCAATTAAAATGACAAAAATACAAACAATTATAATTATAGACCATGTATTATTAAAGTTGTATATATAAATGATGTTTTAACGCGTGCATGTGTGTCTATTCGTCTATGTTTAAACTGTAAATTAAACTGACACTCAGTGAGGGAAATTTAGTACGAGTAAAAATCCTACGACTCTATCCGCGTTTTCGCTCAAGTTTTCTCTTGCTGTAAGATTCAATATTGTTGGCCGTCTATACTATGACATAGCATCCCGAGCATATACTAGCCTACATATAAGGTCGCACACGACGACGCGGTACTAGGCTATATATATGTCCTGACACTGTCTGTACCAGTATAGGTAGTACCAATGTAGAAATGCTGTGCTGAGTGGTTATATTACTACCTTAAAAAATAAGCAGAAACTCGACGTTTCGAGCGAAGGCCCCTCTACTAACTTTTGACGAAGGGCCTTCGCTCGAAACGTCGAGTTTCTGCTTATTTTTAAGGTAGTAATATAACCACTCAGCACTATATGTCCTGACTCCTATATATATAATTTACAGTTTAAACATGGACGAATAGACACACATGCATGCGTTGAAACATTATTTATATATAACTTACATGGCCTATAATTATATTTGTTTGTATTTTTGTCATATTAATTGAGCGAAAGGTTCACACGATAAAAAGTAAAGGTTTTTTATCCATTGCTGCTTATAAAATATTTTGTGTGAGAAAGGATCAATATTAAGGAATTGTCTGTATTAAAGTGATGCTGAATACCAACTTCGAACGAGAATTGAAAATTATCCTTTTGCACTTCAAGAGTAGCTAAGTCGGTATAAAAAACAAGGAAGCCAATCGACTGTTGTTACTTTAATATTTTGATTGTCATGTTTTTAACAACAAACAAAGATGAGCCATTCAATATTCTCAACAAATAACAATTCTAGGTTTGATTTCTTTTTTCGGGCAAATATTTATTACTTTGAGACTGATTTCTGCGAGGATTTCTGTTCGTTATCAGTAGCTATCGGTCAGAAAGTCACGTTTTACGCAATAATTATTGCAGCAATATCTTCACACACCCCCCCCCCGGTATTATTTTTACGAATTTTTAACAAATTAAAAATGTTTAGTGTTCCGGTGTTCCGTGTTCTGGAATGATGCTGTTCCGGTGTTCGTGTTCCGGTGTTCCGTTGTTCCAGTGTTCCTGGTTTTACTAATAACCTTGGTGAGTGGAAAAGCATCTATTACATTGAAACTACAGGCTTTTTATCCATTTTTTATTGGTATAAAATAGATAATTGGACAAGTACTGGTGTAAGACATTGTGTAGCCTAAATAATGAGGACCAGTAGTCCGAAATTGGTTATCATTTATTTATTTACTACGACTCCTATGATGAACATGTACGCAACAAACTAGGGAAACTACGATTAGATAGAAACTAAAATACGTGAAATTTTTATGCGACGCGATAAAATGCGAGGATATAAGAGCGAGAGATCGAAATTGAGTAGGAAAGGCAATTTACGCTGTACACGTTTCGACCTAACAGTCTTCTTCAGCAGGGTTTTTTGAAGGGGCATTACAGTGTAGATAAAGTTTGCAGAGTAGAACTGGAATGCAGGAGATCTAGAGTTTAAGAGTACGGAACATATGTGAAACCAAGAGAATTACAAATTATAACAAAGTTATTATAAACAATTAATTACGCAGTACAAAAATGAAAGTTGAAAGAAAGTGAAAAAGGATTAAATTATTATATGTTATTAGTAAAATTATCCTACGAAAGGTCTTGTTGTTGCGGGACATTCCAACACTACGTACTTTATTGTTCATCTTTTAATTTGTATTTTGTGGAGCGAAGCAATATGCATGTTAGTCCTTTAAATTACTAAATACTAGTGTTTTGGCAGTTTGTACAGTGGCGCCGTGGCCGGGGAGGCCAGGGGGGGCCATGGCTCCCCCTACTGTGAAGACCCGTCGGAAAATTGTGAATGTTGTCGGAAATTTTTGGAAAATTGACAACGTTGTCGGAAATTGGCAAAATTTCCGACGTTTGGTAAATTCGGAAAATTTTTGATAAATTGAGAAAATGGGTGATTTCCGGAAAAATTTTAAGATGTAACGAAAAATTTTGGTATGTCCGGAAAACATTTTTGACCCCTAAAACGGTACACTGACCGAAATTTTTATGTTCTACGCAATACTGAAGTTTTGTACAATAAAATTTTATTATAACCATGGACCGTCAAACAAAAACGTTCTTATTTAACGTCACAAGTGTCCATCGGTCTTCCGGATTGGCCGCATCATTGACCTTGGGAGAATATTTTGTCAGCACAGACCTCCCTGCCGGTAAATAACACATATGTTTTTGAATTCGTATTTTGAGCATGTAGAGCTGAAAGGGGCATTTTAAGAGTGCAAACTTTTTAAAAAAGTATTTTGAAATTTTGATTTAGTAATTTAACGTTTTTCTTAAGGTAATTCCGCAGTAATTGTTCCCGAAATGAGAATGTACGTGCTGAAACTTCCCAGGCATGAAGTTTATGATATTATACTAAAAGTAAAATCACACAAAAAAGTCGGGGTCATCGAACTCGTTAAGAAGATATGACAATCACAATATACTACCTTTACCCCAAATATGGCGCCATCTTGACGCTCATTACGAGTAACAGCAAAATCACAACAGCCCGATATTTATTGACGTTTTTAGCGCGGATTTTGCTTTAGTAAAGCTATCTTGTAATTATTTTTGAAAAAATATTGTGTTTTGAGCGAAATGAAACTACTAACGTGTACAATTCTGATACACAAATGTCTTTTCCACATTTCTTTACATATCTTTCTTTGAGAACATGCATTGATAAACGATTTTTTTCAAGATCCAGAAATGATTTTTCTTTTAATTTCGGATATAAAATGTAAAATGCATTAAAGAAATAAATTATCAGTTAAAAAACGGGGGTCACAGATCTTTTTAGGGAATTGTGGCATTAAAACGTGAAATACAAGTAAATAAATATACTACAGACACAGGGAACCCTAGCTACACTTTTGTATGCCTTTTTTGAAAATATTGATTTTAACGTAATTCTTTGCACGAATGTAACCAAGGATGTTTTGAAGTAACATAAAATTGTAATAAAATGATTTTTTTTAAATGGCACGTAGAATGAATGAAATTATAAGTTATAAGATGTGCGCAGTCAAAGTGCGCAATGCAAAACTGCGGAATTACCTTAAATGTTGCTCGCCGCCTATACAGATACTTGCGGGAAAATGTATGTCACGGTACGTTGTCCTTCGTGAGTAATTTAAGATAAAAATATAATACTTCATGCAGTAAAGTCGACGGACCTTCGCACGAAACGTCGAATTTCTCCTATTATTTTTAAGGTAGTTACAGTGTACATCACTACGAAGTGAACTTTGTTATTATTGGCACAATAGCACAAACCGCTCAAGATTATAAAGGCGTAGCCATGAATATCGCGCACAGAACGCAACACACTTTCTGTTGTATTACAAAATATCTAAAATATTAATTTGGTCATTTTTTGTTTGTTGCAAGGCAAAAAATAATTTTGGCAAGATATAAAATGTTTTAAATGTTAAAACACACTCAAAGAAAAATCATAAGCGTGTCGTATCTTTATATGCGATAGAGATTTCATTTGATTTACATAAACTTTAATTTTGATTTTCTTGACTTATACAACGTATTTTCGCCGTTCCTGTTTTATCATATAGAGACCTAAAGATATTCATCGACTTCGCCTCATACTTTTATATCTTATAAAACACTGCTGCTGATGTTTTAAATAGTACCTGAAATGCATGGGGATCCTAGAAATGCAGGTTTGACGTTCTCTTTTTGAACTGATAATTATAATGGATTCAGTGGCGCCGTGGGACCCATGTTTTTTGGGGGGCCAAGGGCAGTACTTTTCCGACAAACCCGAAAATAGTTTCCGACAGAAGTGTCGCGGAAATTTTTTTTAACTGAAATTTTTATGACGACCTCCCCCCCCCATTTTTATGGCGACTTCCGCCAAAAAAACTTCGGTCAGTGTACCATTTTAGGGAATTTTCCGGACATACCAAAATTTTTCGTTACATCTTAAAATTTTTCCGGACATCACCTATTTTCTTACCCTGGTTGCCAGAGGTTCTGTATCTTTCGCCTTATTCCCGCTCGTATCTATTTTACGCGAGGCGAAGAGAACCTCTGGTGGCACGCGATACAAATCTCTCTTCCATGCTGACGTTGCCGTTTGAGAACTTGCAAAACCGGTTTTATATTTGTGACGTTTTTAAACTTCCGGGTTTGTCATACTACCAAAATAGCTCTCTTCAGACCTTGTGTAAAATTGATATTAAAAATATTAAGCAGCCCAAACATGCAGATTATTCGTAAGGATTATGTAGATTTTCTCACAAAAGCAAAAAAGCAACCTTACTGATTGTTAAATTTGTGGAATGCCGTTTGCATTAGCGAGCGTAAAAAGTCAAAAGTGAAAGAATATAAATATATAAATATTTATATATATGTGCAACGGAGCCAGTATGTAGCAACGTTTCCTTAACATACAACGGGAAAATATTGGCAAAATAAATCCTATTAATAACTATCAAAGTCGAAGAATTACCAAAATTTAAAACTTTGAACGATATAAAGCAAGTGACCAACACTTTAATATATTTTACAAATATTAATACTGTAACTGAGTGAACATGTCATGCCGTCAACTCAAGTCATGCCGCGATGGCAGCTCTTCTCCAGCGCAGAAAATCTTTTTATAGCGGAACAAAGTATAAGTTAATCTCAAATATAAACCCACACCAAGTAAAGCATTTTAAGATTTTAATACGTTCGACGTTCGTATTATTTCTGTATTTTGTTTACATCGTGTTCTCTGAGATTTATAAACAGGTTTTTTTGTCTAGCCAATCACACCACTTCATGTGACTGCTAATTATAACTAACCAATCATGTGCTTGGTACAAATTTTGTACCAAAGGAAGAGAGATTTGCATCGCGTGCCACCAGAGGTTCTCTTCGCCTCGCGTAAAATAAATACGAGCGGGAATAAGGCGAAAGATACAGAACCTCTGGCAACCAGGGTACTATTTTCTCCATTTATCCAAAATTTTCCGAATTTACCAACGTCGGAAACTTTGACAATTTTCCAAAAAATTCCGACAACATTCACAATTTTCCGACGGGTCAGAACGTTTTCCTTGACCGATGTGTAAAACATACACTATTTTGGATACAAGGTTAGATTGTGTGACGGTGCCTAAAAAGGCTTGGTAAAATATAGTTATGTTTACTCACTCATGAACCTCCAAAGTTTTTCTCCAGATTCGTGCACTTCGATTGTTTTACCTCGCCGAAAATTAACCCGTTCACTATTATAGTTGTCAAACACGTGTAACACTGACAACACTGCCCTTGGTAGACAACCACATCTTGCAAAAACTGCACCAAATAAATAACTATAGCTTAAAGTGCACATGACATGAAATTTCTTTTTTCTTAAATGAAAGAACTTTTCAAGCTGTAGTGTAACTTATTTTTCAGTTTCTTGTTTTTATGGTTTGTTCCCGGGATATTTCAATTTGAGATATCTAAATGAGCTCAATTTGCACTGGTTATAAATAAGATATCTGTTCACGTTTTTCTACATTGTTACATCACACTTACCAGTGAGTGAAGTTTGAAATTATCATCTTGGATGATAGCAGTGATATTCAACCATTCCGAAGACCTTGCAACCAATGTAACGTCATAAATTAGCGGACATATTCACATCATTTACTTGTCAAACAGATTGAAATATCTCCATAGAAACAAGCTTCAAGAGTTCTTTTATTCAAGAAAATAAGAAATATCATGTCATATGCACTTTAAATTTAATAAACGAAATTTCTTGGGAACGCTAAACTTATATTATTACGACTACATCACATTGTGATTACAAATATGTGACAGAATGTAAATCAGCAACCATGCTAACATTTTTCAAGTCAAATATGGGTTAACACTACAGTTCTACTTCCTTACAAATGAAATAATATTTCTAGTTGAAAAAAATACATCAGAGTAACCCAACGGTACGATAAGCCGATAATCATAAGAAAGATTCAAAACTTGAGTTCCCATCGGATTTTATACACCACAGTAGCGAATCCAGCAATGAGGTACAGGGACCAGTCTGTAGATATAGCCAAAACCACAGTTAATAACTTCGATGGCGGTCTTCCTATGATAGCAATCGCCGTCCCAACTGAAGTACACGGTGCGTGTAACCTTACCCTCACTAACAGTAGGATGGCTTTCATTCAACCACGAGACAGCATGAGTTTGACATTTTAGATTCTTATCATATCCTCCAACGGGACAAGACCTTGATATCTGTGTTCCTGCATTACCAGCAAATCTGTACCATTTGATTGGAATCTTTGTATCACACAACCACGAAACCTCTAGACCTGAACTGGTATAGTTTATGTTTCGATTTGTGTCATTGAGGAATGCATAACTGTCGCATTCTTTACGTCTCACTGCAAATGTACAATAGTTAACATTTAATCCTCTATGTTTTTCTATGTGGTATTTGAGGTTAATATATAAGCTAGATAAACATTTAAGTTGAAGCAGGTCGTTCAAATATTCAAACTCACTGTAAGAACAACGGTTATTTCAACATGTTTTTAACAGGGGGAGCATAAATTTAAGGTATCATGCATGTTATGCTAATATAGACTGGCAGTCGAAAGCTCGTTTAACAATAATAAAGGCTGTTTTAATTTCGATAAATTAAGAAAATGTGACTCCAAAGTTTGGTACTTAAAAAATAGATAGGCTAAAATCTCATGTGTGGAGCATTTTTCGAAAAGGGATCTATGAGATATATATTAGAGGGGGATAGCCATGTGGCCGACATACCATGCATAAATCCCTTGAGGTGTCTGGCCATGCGGCATGTTCCCCAAGAAAATGTTTGAAATTTGAAGCCCGAAAATGCCATTTCCTCTATTCTGAGCATTCAAGTTTGCTTTAAAATGTATGACGTTCAATTTGAGCTTCCTTTGAGTGTCATTGCTCTTTTTGAATAGCTGGAAGATGGGTAGTCCCCGAGCCGACGGCACGATGTTACTAATTTCCCTGGCCATTTACACCCGGCAGTGACGGCGCCAGGGGGGAGAGGGGGGGGGCAAGGAGGGGGGGAGGGAAATGGCCCCCAAATTATTTTTTGCCCCCCCCCCCCATTTTCCCCCCTTCAAAAAATTTATTAGTCACTGAGAGCGACTAAAGGCTACACAAGCGTTTTGTCGTTATCGGAAAATGTATGCCTTGTAAGTTGTAATTGCCCGTTTTTAAACTAGAGACGCATTATGCGTCTGGACGAACTTCGGCAAGCATTTGTTGTTTGTCTGGTTATGCGTCTTTAGTATAAAGACGGGCACAAGACGCATTATGCGTCTAGACGAACTATGTTCGATTCTTTGTCTTAAGAGACGCACAACCGATGATAATTCGTCTAGACGCATTCTACGTCTTGTGCCCGTCTTTATACTAAGGACCCATAACCAGACGAACAATAAATGTTGATAGTTCGTCGCAATGGCCGTTTTTATACTAGAGACGCATTATGCGTCTGGACGCATAATCCGTCTTCTACATTATTCGTCTAGTATTATTCGTCCCGCCTTTATACTAGACGAATAATGTAGAAGACGTATTATGCGTCCAGGCGCATAATGTGTCTCTAGTATAAAAACGGCCATTACTCATTAGTGAATGCGCGTATACATGAAACTGTCTTTTACAGTTTCAATATTAGTTTGTAAATCCCTGAACGGTAAAACTTTCCAATACTCCAATAATACGTTTCAAAAAAGACAAAAAAGCTTTAGTTTTGCAAAGTTAAATTCTCAAATGTGTAAAGGCCCACACAAACCGGACGCGATTCTGCAACGCGACGCGAATTTTCAGTTTTTAAAAACAAATAAACCGTCAAAGGATAAAAATTTTACCAGGTATGCAGACCAAATAGCTAAAATTGCTAGCGCTCAATTGCCCGACCTTAAAATTTTGGAGAGGGCCAGGGCCCCACCGATCAATCAACCCAACCCCCCCCCCCTCCCCCCTTCCGGCCGATGCGCCTATGCCAAGCTTTGCACTGTTTTGTCTGGAAACACTAAATATATTGTATAAAAGATTCGTAGTTTTATTACTACTAGCTTTTTAGTCACTTGAACATGATCTCATGGGGCTGTCTAATCGTCTAATTATAAACTTATTATAGCTTAGTTTCATCTTCCAATATGTGAAGAAATTTGGATCAATATTAACATACGTCTTTCTAAACGTTCAGGAGCCTTTTAATTAGTGATTGAATGATTGATGTTAGGGCTTCAAAATTTCATACCTGCGCAAGTTTTCCCGTCTTCTACGAATCCGCTTTTACATTGGCAGAGGTATGAGCCTTGAGTGTTGCTGCAAGTTGCATTTCTGTGACAAGGGAAATTTTCTTCCAAGCATTCATCAATGTCTGAAAAAGTCAAAATATTATAGGCCTTAGAATTTGACCCACTACTATACCACACCAAACCTTATCAAGCCTTACCAAACCATACTGTACCAAACCATACCAAGCCTTACCAAACCATACTGTATCAAACCACACCAAGCCTTACCAAACCATACTGTATCAAACCACACCAAGCCTTACCAAACCATACTGTATCAAACCATACCAAACCATACTGCATCAAACCATACCAAGCCTTACCAAACCATACTGTATCAAACCATACCAAGCCTTACCAAACCATACTGTATCAAACCATACCAAACCATACTGTATCAAACCACACCAAACCATACCACCCCATATAGCCTACCATATCAAAAAACAATACCATATCATAACAAACCACACCATATAACTCCATACCTTACCATTATGACAAACCCAAACATACCAATCACGCATATTTTCATTTGCAATATGATTAATTAAATACGCTTCGATGCTATTCTCCAAAGCAAGCTTTCATTCGTAGACTTTATGTTAGCATCATTCATTGTACCTTTGTGTGTTTGAAGGGGTTTTGTAGATGGAAATATTGAGTGGAAGATTATATATAATTTTACACCTAACCATGCAGAAGCAAAAAATGCAACCATATTTACTCTGTGTGTACCTCTTTAACAGTTAGTTCTACCGGAGTGAGATCGATGCGAGAAATCCCAATATTTACCTATACACCTTGTATACATTAACTTGTGGTTAGAGCTCAAGAACTGGTCTCTGTAGCTCAGTTGGTCAGAACACTGCACCGGATTTTTTGCAGCGCTGGTTCGATTCGTGCCAGAGGCCTAATATTTCCATTTTTCGTAGCTGCTTCTGGTTATAGTAATAACTTAAATGTTTGAAATTTACACATTAAATTCCCATCAACGAAACACTTCAATTGAACAATTTGTTCTAACCCAAAATCCTGGTATGATTACTCTTATATATATATATATATATATATATATATATATATATATATATATATATATATATATATATATATATATATATATATATATATATATATATATATATATATATATTTAACAATTATACCATGAGCTCGAGTCGTATATGAGCTGATAGCCGACGAGGTGCATAGCACCGAGTCGGCTATCAGCCATATACGACGAGAGCGAATGGTTAATTGTTTTATAATATAGTCTAATATAGCCATTAACTGAAGCAGTAATTAATTATTCACTGTTACAATGTGTTGACAATTTGTTCGGCCAAAAACCGCTTGAAAATTTAAAATACTTTTGTTTTACAACTCGAAGACGAAGTGAAAGAAATGGTTTTAGAGGTGACGAAGTGAAAGAAATGGTTTTAGAATGGTTTTTATAAGATAAACCTATCCCCAACCCCAAACCCTTTCCTAACCCTAACCCCTAACCCTAACCTTTTGAGAGTTAGAAAAGCCGGGAAAAAAGTTTAAAAAATTTTAAGAAAAAACAATGCTAAGTCAGACAAAACACATCCCGACCCCAACTGCGTTTAACTTTCCGCACGCAGCGCCCTTGCCGTATGTGCTAATGGCAAGCTCGGTAAAAATTAACGCAAACAAAAGTTTTTATATTCAACTATAGTCACTACTGACTGCCGGAATTTAGTATTTGATAAACCGTGACCGGCTGCCGGTCATATAGTCACTTTGAAAAATATATCTCACTTGTTAATAGAATCCATTTGTTGTGTTTCTGAGTCTAGTAGATGCGATTGCTTTACGTTTTCGTCGTACTTGAACGGTCGTCAGTACTATGGCACTGGACGACATGGCCGTATAGGACATAAATAACTACAAGGCTAGCCACTTAGGGACCGTTCATTGTTTATACCAGGGGTTGGTACCGAAGAGATTTGGGTTGGGTAATCAAATTTTTGACTGGCTCAAGGGTTGAGTAAAAAAATTAATGGCTGTTTGTCAGCTATAAAATAAAATAGAATAAGTCCAAAATTACCATGCATTGGAAAATATGAAGAGAAATGTGTACAATACATTCTGTACCAAAATAGACCATCGGTGATTGAGGAATGACTCTATCATTGATCAGCAGGAACGTGGTTGCTTTGGCACACTCAGTGAGTTTGAGTGTGAGTGAGCTTTTAGAATTTAGGCAACTTGATTTCTGTCAGCATAATCTTGTTTGTTTAATTATTATGAAGTACAGTAACACATGGGTTGGGTAAACATTATTTTCACCAATGTTGAGGTTGGGTAAATAAAAAATTTCCAGTGTTTTCCTCTTCTCTTCGGTACCAACCCCAGGTATAAATAATGAACGGTCCCTTATCTGATATACTCTCCGGCATCGAGTCCAATATATCTCGCCTCAGAATCGTTGCAGAGCAATAAATTTCACATCGTCTAATAGCACGAACGTTCCTCTTTCGAAAGAACTTAGTTTCTTCACCATTGCGGCAATTCCTGCGACACACGACGAACTTTGTTTGTCAAAAGTCCAAATTTCCATTTTCGAAAGAGGCGCTAACCCCATGATCGTCGCCACGAGAAGCGGCTCAGCGACCTGGCCTCCTCGTTTGAAAATATTCCATCAGGGGGGAGGAGCTGGACTGGAATGAGGGGGGCTTTCAAAGCAACACGATAAAACACACAATATAAATGTTTAATACTTGTTTATTGTCGAATACAGCATGATAAAGTAATAATTTCTATTTATATCGTGTGTTTTATCGTGTTGCTTTGAAAGGCCCTCATTCCAGTCCAGCTCCTCCCCCCTGATAGAATGTTTTCAAACGAGGAGGCCAGGTTGCTGAGCCGCTTCTCGTGGCGACGATCATGGGGTTAGCGCCTCTTTCGAAAATGGAAATTTGGACTTTTGACAAACAAAGTTCGTCGTGTGCCTCGGGAATTGCTGCAATGGTGAAGAAACCAAGTTCTTTCGAAAGAGGAACGTTCGTGCTATCAGACGATGTAAAATTTATTGCTCTGCGACGATTCTGAGGCGAGATATT